ATGCGCCCATGCACGGTATGGAATCCATCGACCAGAACCTTATGGCTAGCACACCCACATCGTTCGACTGGCAAGGACCCTCGCCCCACCTCAACCTCGATACCACCATACCGGCAACCTTCACAGCCGATGACCTGGATCTCGGCTCCTTCTCGGCTAGGAGTGGCAGCATGCCCTCTATCGCTATAGATGAATGTGAGCCTTTCCCCAACTTCTCCACGCCGTCTTCACCAGTACCTTCATTATGGTTAGGTACCACGCGTGCCTCGTCGCCCGACTCCATGCCACCCGGGTCCGCGCTCCCGCAGTTCGGTGCAACATACTCATCGATGAGTAAACCCATGCCGTCGTCGATCGAACCGCATACGGCGCCTTCTTGGGAGTTCATGGCTCAAGCAAGTAGCAGTCAGTTACAACCGGGTACTACCAGCAGTCGGGCCCACTCTCGCAAGACTTCGACCTCGTCCCAGTCTCAGGCTAGCAATGAGCAAGCCATGTCGCCGATCCCGGAAGTTGAAGATGACATCCTTCCGTTGGCGCCAGCACCGCGATTGCCTCGCCAAGGCATATTCGCAGCCCGCCATACTGAAAGTCCTGGCCCAGCTTCGTCACGATCAAGCTTCACCGATCGCAGTCGCGCAATTGTTACTACACCAATTCCTAGTCGCTTCGAAGCGGAGACTCTGACCACTGAATTCGTACAACACATCGAGTCCTTGGACTACCAAGCTTACTCCATCTCTCCTGGTCTCTTTTCTCGGTTCTGCGAGTCTGTCTACCCAAACACTCAGCGACCTGCAGTCGAAATCTCCGCATCCATGTCGATGGCGCGCTTCCATGTCTTCCTTGCCATGGCCGTTGCGATGAAGGTGAGAATCAAGGATTCGCCGGAGAACACGAATGCTCTCCTCGATACCTGCTACGAGCTTGCTATGCAGCAAGCTTCATCGTCCACATTCTGGCAAGAGACAGGTGGGATGGAAGCTGCTCAACTTTTGGCGCTTTTTGCTTCGCTCCGCAAGCCCTCTACAGAGGAGCCACGTGGTCTTCAACATTCGTTTTCCTGGTGACGACAACTTTCCTTGCTTTGCTTTCTCCCGTTACGACTGTATGCCACTGCTTTCCTTCCGTTTGTTTCTGACATTCTTCAAAAGTCCAATCATTCATACATCATGTACATAAACAGCAGTGTTTACGAACCAAACTTTTTTGCGAGCGCAATAGATACCATTCGATTCGCGAAACTCCGACATGCTCGAGTGGGGCTGTAAGTGCAGAAACTGATGCCCTCGCCATCATAGGACGTCTCCATAGACAAGAGGACTTTTGTTGTACCAACCCAATAATGGGATAACATTACAGACTAGCAGCTAATTAACTACTACTACACATGATTGCTCTATGCCAAGCAACTTTCGAGGGTATAAACCAAAACAAGAAAGCAAAATGAAATCATCCAGTATCTTCCACCACGACCACCTCCCTTCATCTACCGCTTGAGATCTTCTCTATCCAACATCCCAAGCGTGCAACTTATTGGCATAATCTACCACTTCTCGCCACGATCAGCATAAGCCGAGCAATCCAACGCGGGAATGCTGAAGCCGTAGCCATCAGTCCTGCCCTCGCGATCTTGGTTGCTGATCTCCACCCTCAGTGTAACATCCAAGCCATACGGTCCACAAAGACCTGATGGATTGATACCGCCAGCAGCCGGGTGCTGGGTTCCTGCCTTCTCCTCTCCGAGATGGAAACCCAGACGCATGTTGTCTTTCTTGCCAGGGGCAGCGGAGATCTTGGACGCGGCGGTGTTGTTCGTGTTGATGGAGGGCGCTGAGCCGGGAGGTACACCGAGAGTGGAGGGGGTGGGGATCGCGGATTCGCAGATGATGGCGTAGTTGCGCGAAGGCATCGTTGCGTGGTTTGCGGCGGAGGTCTTGGGTTCGATCTTTCCGTCTTTGCCATCGCCCTCGATCTGGGCGGTGGAGCTGCCGTTTGTCGCGTTGACGCCTCCGGGGAGAGCTGGGTCGCGGTCGAAGATTTCGAGAAGCGTCTCGTCGGTCTCCTTGTCGAGGTGATGGATCTTGTTTCGGCGGGCAAGCAAGTTCGCGACAGCTTGTGGTGGGGGCTTGTTGGTGATGGCGGAGCTAATGATGTTGGGCATGTAGCGATGGTCAGCTTCTGCGGGAATCTGGTGTGTCTTAGGGTTGGTGTAGAAACGACCAATGGCTCCAAGATGTACATCTCCACCAAGAATGGTGACACGGGCGGAGAACTTCTTGGAGAATGCCTGCAGGCTGTGCATGAGGTTGCGGCGCTCCTCCTTGTGCTGACGCGCGGTGTAGTGGTCATCCAAGTCATCGAGCAAATCGACCTTGCCATCGAATTGGTTGAAGAAGCCTCCAGCGAAGCCAAAGCGCTTGTTCAGGAACTTGATGGGTGCGATCAACGGCGACTGCAGAATGTTTTCGAGCCAGATCAAGCGAGGGTAGGCAATGGGTACACCGAGCAGCAAGATCATGTGCTTGAGTTCTGGGTTCGCGGTGAATTCGGCATCGAGACGATCGAAGAGCATCTTGTAAGTCTCGGGGTAGTTGACCTGATGCCTAGTACGCTCTGTTCGTGCATCAATACCAGCAAAGGCAATGCGCGCACCGAGCTGGCAGTAAATGCTGCGACTGCGTTCCTCGACATATGGGCCGGGCTTCGAGCCGATAAGGTACGATGGGTCGCCCTCATCGTTGGTCATAACGAAGGTGCTGTCCACCTGTACCGGATCGGCGGGAGTTGTGCCTTCTCCCTGGCCTGTTACATTGGTCGTCTGGGGCGCGTCGGTTGTATAGGTACTCTTTGGAGGAGCAAGGTGGTGCTGGAAGAGGAGGTAGTACTTGTGCGCAACACCACCGATGCCTCTGAAGACAGCGCAGTTCATGAAGTGGTCGGTGTAAGAGCCAAAGCCATCGATGATGTCGTGGTCGTCCCAGATGTTGACCTGAGGAATCTGGCTGTTGGCAGTGGAGAAGGGCTTGTGACCATACCACTTGACGTAGTTGTTGTAGTAGTACTCGTCGCAGTCGGCACGCATCTGCTGGCCGAAGGGGAACTCCCGTCGCTTATGAGGGCTATGTATGTCGGTCCAAGGCTTGAGCGGTCCGTCGACTCGCACTCCGTCGTTATAGATCTGGTCGCCTCCTCCAAGCATGACGTGGAAGGGTCGCTGCTCATGCATTCGGAGGACATCGTTCCACAGAACAGGTCCGGACCAGACGTCCAGGTCGGTGCCAACACTGAAGCCGTTGCAAGAGTGGAACATAATGCGCATCGACTGGGTGATTGAGGGTATGACGAAGTTCTGGGGCTTCTCCTCTTTCATGGTGTCTGTGTATCTGAGGTTCTGGATCTCGTAACGCCATCTTGACTCGAATGGCTGCATGGGAGCATCGATCCTGAAGCGCCAGAAGGCCCTCTTGCTATCCTCGTATAGCTTCTCTCCGTGAAAGTCGCGCGCTTCCACGCTGAACCTCACGTCACCCATATTCTTGTCGACTGCACCAGCTGGGAAGAGTGTGAGCTGGGGGTTTGGCTGTGCATCGTTCGGATTCTGTTGTCCAGGCGTAGCGACGATGAGAACACTTCCGTGCCAGACAGGCTGCCCGGCCTGCTGGTTGCTTGTACGTCTGTAGTTGAGGAGCGGTCCCATGATGACATCCACTGCACCCGAGGTGCTGATGACTTGAGGACCGGCGCCAATGCCTGTCACGCCACTGGGGTCCTCATGTTGTTGGTATTCAGCGGCCATGGTGGTCGTCGGTCGCGAGCAGTGTTCGATAGCGAGAGGTTTGGGGGGATATATGCGCAGACGCGTCTAAGATGTCTACGATCCTGCGCTCCAGTCAGTCTATTGACTCAATTCAGCCAGAGCAAAGGCGTACAATGGCAATGCGCTCAGGGTCCAAGAGTTGGCTTCAGGCGCAGATACGATGCGCGCTGCTAGTAATTTCGCGTTCCTGTCGCGACGGAAACAATTGCACGCCCTGGTGAAGCGCGTGTACTACGGAAACGATAGAGGCGGGGGAGAGTAAGAATTCAGGAAAGGCTGGGGCCAAAATGAAAGCGCCTCTAGCCTCAAAGTCAGGAAAGTTGTTGTGCCTGTGATTGATGGCACCGAGGCGGCAGGGATGGTTGCCGCTAGCCGTGTGGGCCCATGACATCCTCGAGCCTTCCGCGCTGCACTGTGGACCGCGAAGACACGGGACCTATCTCGATCTTCCGCATGGTCTTACACGCCGTCTCCTGGACAGGCCAGTCAATTTTCTTCTCTTTCTCAGCACGCATTCGCAAATCTTGCATCGACTCGCGCAACATCTATGAGCTCATTATCTCTGTCCAAGCCACAGGCCACCCAACCAAGCTTTCGAAACATGCGCCAAGCACCTGCTACGCGTGCCAAGCATCGTGTAGCGTGATACGATGACGCTGATCAATGGCTGTGGTGTGGCTGCCAGTCCACTCATAATTTCCACTGGACAATCTGCCACACGAAGATCCAACGGGGCGGCGCCATTGTGGCAGTGAATGACGACTCCAAGAGAAGCGAAGTGGCTTCGCATACGTCGTGACACTGGGTTGCAGTCACTATGGAATGAAACAGTTAGTTCTATTCAGCAGTGAGTTACATGTTTAGGAAGGCGCGCAAACAATTAGTAGGGAGGAATTGCCTAAGCACATGCTTGTTATCGTTATGTTCATCGCTCTCGCTCTCCCTGATCTCCATGTTCCAGTGTGTCAAGACGAACTTAGTGATCTGCGCTGCTTGCGTCAACCGCCTTCGTAAGTCCTCACATTATTGACGCGGGCCGAATTGCGAATGCTGTACGATGTGTCCAGTAGGTATAGGTTCCTGTAGAAACACGATTATGCCGATACGTAAAGCCATTTGTGCTGTCTGATTTCGTTTCATCCAAGGTTGTATTGCTGTATACCGACTGTGCTCTTTGAGGTCACGCTTCTTCCTCATCCACAGGCAATACTTCTTCTCTGCTCAATCCAATCTCCTCCCCGACTCTCCTAACAACCTCCTTGATAGCAGCGCAAGCCGGGCTGTCCGGGTACGCCGTCAAGAAGCTCTCTCCAAAGTCGCAAGCCATGCCTATCCTTGGATCCAGTGGCACCTTGCCCAAAAATGGTATATTCTGATCCTTCGCTAACCTTGCTGCACCGCCCGTACTCGCTCTGAAGATCTGAGACTCGTGCTTGCAACCCGGGCATACGAACCCGCTCATGTTCTCAACGATGCCCAGTATAGGTATACCCGCTTTCCGGCAAAAGTCGATCTCCTTCCGAACGTCGAGAAGCGAGACTTCTTGGGGTGTGGATACGAGGACTGCGCCGTCGACGCCGCTGGCTTTGAGGAAGGAGTTGACGGAGAGATGCTCGTCGGATGTACCCGGTGGTGTGTCGACGACGAGGAAGTCCAGTTCGCCCCATGTTACGTCCATGAGGAATTTCTTGATCAGCCCGTTCTTCTTTGCGCCGCGCCAGATGACTGCGTCATCGCGGTTTGGTAACATGAACTGTACGCTCATGACTCCTAGGTTCTCGCTGACCCATACTGGTTCCCATCCTTCTCCGCTAACGTGTATTGTCTCTTCTTCTACACCCATCATTTTCGGTATGCTAGGCCCGCAGATGTCTGTATCCATGAGTCCGACAGTCGATGATGGATTCGATGCGAAGCCATGCGAAAGCATTGTGCTGAAGGTCGACTTTCCGACGCCGCCTTTACCGGAGAGTACGAGTATCTTGTGCTTTACGGAGGAGAGGCGCGCGGTTATGATGGGTATGTCGGGATCGGGGCCCTTGGGCGCGGAGGCGCATATCGACTGGTTGGGACATCCAGCGCAGGAGTCCGCTTGACCGGCTGTGAGAGATTCGGGACCGGGGCAGTGTTCTGTCGCGATAGTGTTAGCAGTCTGTTCTCACAGAGTCGCGTACAATGCCGGAGGGGTGGCGGGGCAAACGTACCTGGCTCGGGCGCAACGAGCTTGGGCGCAGCCTTGAGAGGTGCTTCGAAATCGACCTGTACGGGCTCTTCTAGCGAGGGCGCCATGGTGTATGTGGTTATGACTGTAGGTGTGGACGTGAGTGCTACATGGTTGCGTGCTGGAGGAAAGCCCTAGAGGCTTGATAATCAACATCCGTGACAGGGCGGTACCAGTAATGCTTGGCATTTTGCCCCACGGTGTCCCGAGGTCGGCATCCATGACTAGCAAGATCGTACACAAGGATGAATCTCAGCAGATGCGCTTCAGACTACATTAGTATAGGAGTGTAAATTCAACTAAGTCCTATCCCAATGTAGACTTCTCGGTGGGTTTACTTCTTGCGACATCCTGTCCTTGAATGTGGGGTTGACATCACGCAGTTTGACCGACCAACTGAGCTTTGAGATCTAGACCTCGTACCGCGTTGGTGCCGACATCAACCTTACATGTTTCAAAAAGAAGGACAACAAAACAGCGCGGAGGTCGTCGCGGAGATTCTGCCTGTTAGACAACCAAGAATCCTGTGCATGTATTCTCCAACCACGTTTATAGATTTTCGTATGTAGCCCTCTTGGTGTATTGTAGGAGGCAGTGGATGTTGTGAAGTGTCTATTCATGCAAGCTATGCTCGTCTAATTCATGTGAAAATCATCCCTGTCGGGAACCGATCCACTATCCAGTCCATTGCTATCTTCAACCGAAGTGCTGAATGACTACTTCAACTTGACCATGACGTATGGAATCTCAACGTCCTCCTCCTTCTGATCTTCAGCTGTTATCTCGAAGATAACGTTCTTCTGATGCTCCGGTACTGGCTTCCTGCTCACGTGCTCCACAAGCTTGCTCATACTGCCTTTTGTTAGTAACGCGGTGTATACGAAGGGGAATCAATGAAACTTACGTGAGCGGCATCCTATCCTTCAACTTGGATGCAGGATAGAATGATGCGTAAAGCAAACTGACGCCAGAGCTTATCATCTGAATTGACAGACCCTTCTTCTCGAAATGCGCCACGAAGTCCTTGAGGGGGATATCATCCACCTCGAAACGGTCCCATAGCTTATCGATCGTAACTTCGCCATCGTGCCCTTGGTAGGTACCCTTTGGGCTGGCAATCGGCTCACTGAAACCAAAGAATGGCAGGGCCAAGTTGATGAAGCCGTTCTTGTATTGCTCAATGTCCGTCTTGCCGTCGATGATCTTGTACAGCTCAAGGTTGACGAGACCGGTGACCAAAGCCGTCGTGGTGGCAATGGCCGGAATAATCTTACCAGCAATGAACTTGGTCTTGTGTCGGTCGGCCTGCTCGATCTTGTAGTTCTCAGCACGGAGGTTGCTAGCAGCAGTGATGAAGTCGATGTGGTGGTTAGAGTCATCATCCTTCTCGAACTCGACAGGCTCAAGCTTGAATCCAGCAAGAGACTTCGGTGCCGGCAATTGGCTGATAATGCTGTCGAGCGACTCGTTGTCGTCGCCACCAGCCTGGTTGGCATTCGGATCTGGCTCCTTCTCATCGGCCTGGATCTTCACTGTAGGGTCGGGCTGGAAGTCGGGAACGATCATATCGTTGAGAACTTCGATGTAGTGCTCCTTGGACGCATTTGGCTTGATGCCGTAATTGAATGCGTGTAGGGTGGCAGCAGCTTCCACGTAGGTGAAGTGTGTTGGGTTTGAAGAGTCAAACTTCGATGGGTCCGGCGCGCGCTTGGGTCCCGACCAGAATGGCTGACCGGAGCCTGTCTTGGAGTCCTTGGGGAAGTTGTAAAGCAATTGCGCAATTGCGTGGTTGTAGTTCTTCTCGAACTGATGACGGGCCCAGATGATGCAGTCGTCAAACGACAACGGCTTCTCTGTGACCAAGAATTCCCGCAGGGTCTCCAGAGTCTGCTTCTCGTTACCAGACTGCTTCAGCGATGCGCCAAGGTAGTCTGGTTGTGTCAGGTAGAGGTTGACAATCTCCGGACCCTTGACGAACAGCGAATCGAACGACTCCCGCGCCCAGGCAATCGTGTGCTCGATTCGGTTGGGGAAACTCCTTAGTGTGCACATAGGGAACGACTTCTCGGGTGGATCTTGAGATGAAGAGTAAGACTCTGTGATGAACGGCAGGACAACCTGGGTGTTGCCCTTGGTACCGAGAGTACCGCTGTCGAGCAGAGGCTTGCGGAAGAACACACATCGTCGGTCGACGTATGTACGCGCCTCTACATTGTCCAGTGCATTCGTCACACCGTCCAGAGAATTCCAGAACTCTTCGTTGAAGATGTGCTCTGTCTCCGGGCCGACCTTGTCCTGCAGTGTCACGATCTTTCCGCTGAGGTCAGGGTTCATAACCTGGACTGCCTTTGCGGCAGCATCGCTCTTTAGCTTGCCAACATCCGCTGGTCTGAACAAAAATTGTCGGTTCAAGTTGCTCTTCTCGATTTGATCGTTATCAGTGACAGTGATCTTGCCATCAGGGCCAGTGCCAAGACCCATCATCGCCCAGTTCTTCAACATCTCGCAGCCGATGGCACCCGCACCAACGAGGAACTGCTTGACGTTGCTGAGCTTCTTCTGGTATTCCTGTCCCAATACAGCGATTTGACCGTCGTAGCGCGAGCCAATCGGAGCACACTGCTCTTCCGAACGGGTCGTGGAGGTAGGGATTGACTCTAGCGAATCGAAGTAGAGGAACTGAACGATGGGATGGAACTTTCCAGATACTGACTTCAAGACTTCCTGAGCAGCCATGCCACCAAAGAAGGCAGCGACGGGACTGAGGTCACCACGAGCCTGGTAACTGAGCTCTTTGATGAGCTTCTCATCCAGCTCGACCTTCTCCTCGCCCTCGTTTGCGATTTCCTGTGCAATCTTGAAGAGCTCATCCGCGTCGGCTTCATGGTGAGGACGCGGGAACTCGCCCTTGTGGAGGTTCGCAAACTTGTGGATGGCCTGGATACCAACGTGGAGCTGTTGCGGTCGGTCGAACTTTGCGAAGTCGGAGATGAGAAGCTCAGGCTTCTTGAGCTGCTTGCTGAAGGGCTCGAAGTCGATGATCTTGGGCATCTTGACCTGGATGAACTGTCCTCCCTTCTTGTACTCTCCGAGGCCAGATACATCGCCAATGGAGAAGGTGTAAGGCCCCTTGACCTCAATCTTGCGAGGCGCACAGCCGTTGAGGCCCTCCATACCCTCAACTTCTGAGAATGTGACCCAGTCGCCATCCTCCAAGCCGTGTCTTGTCTCGTCTAGTGCCGACACAATACCCTCCTCATCGATACCGGCAATGATGCCGTTGTTGACATTCTCGCCCGTCGGATCACCGATGGTGAAGTTCTTGCCGAAATCGGTGAAGATAGTACCGAACAGTCCGTATGTGTCGGTAATGACTACGTAAATGCCGTTGTCGTGGCAGTAGTCTGCGATCTTGATTTGATCTTCGAGGCGAGTGTCGGTAAGGACAATGACCTGGAACTGCTTCAACTGCGACAAGTCTGATGTCAAATCTCCTCCGCTGAATTCCTGCACAGGTGTGTATGGGTTGAGTTCGGAGACGCGCGGTACGGTGACGGAGGCGCGTGGCTTGCCCACGTCGGCGGGAGTGAGGAAGAACTGCGACGACAGGTCGGCGAGAGCGGCGGGCTTGGGATCGTAGAGTGTCAGCGACTTGACACCGGCTAGGGCGATGTTCTTCGCAATCTCGACACCGAGACCTCGCAGACCAGCAACGAGGACGTTGGAAGAGCCCATGCGCTTCATAGCCTCATGGCCCAGGACATACAGCTGCCTGCTGTAGAGGGACTCATCGATGTCGCCGTTGTTACCGGACGCTTCCTTGAGCTGTTCGACGGCAGTGGCAGGGCTGTCGACCTGCATGTTTTCCTTGGATACGTTAGATTGGGGTCGCACAAGAGTAAAGTTGGTGAAAGGTGTAGAGTGGCGGAGACGCTGGAGACGCCGAGTACATGGTACCAAATGCGGACGCGCAACCGAACAAAGCGCAAGTTAGTAATCAATGGGGCGCACTTACCGCCATGGCTTTCTCTTTCTTGCTGGGACGAGCGTCCTCGTCGACGTGTTTCCGCTTCCCCAGTTTGCCGACGGTCGTGAAGGCTGGACGCTGTCAAATGTGGCGGTCGCGGGCGCCTGGCTCGAGTGTCGCGGGGTGCCCAGGTGTAGGCTGTTGTTTACGGATGTGAAGAAGGACAAACGAGATCAACAGGTTCGTCGCTGGAATGGGTTGAGTGTAGAGGTGTAAATGGAAGGAAGGCAAGGGTGGAAGGCGCAGCAGGGAGGAGGTTATTACGTGAGTACTTGTCACGGCGAAGGTGCTGGAGCTCCACCTAGCGCCATCCCACTTAAATCTTGGCGCAATCGTCACTTCTGCATGGGCCTCGAATCCACTCCTTCACCCCATACCAGGAAAACATCAATCACCTCACAGTCTACGATAGCGGGAAAACGGAAGCCCGCAGACTCCTGGGGGTGATGTAGACTCTTGGGCGATTAATTTCTATGGCCTGCTGAATGCAGATTTCACCCCCTCAACGCTGGGCCTGCTTTAGATTTCGACGCGACTGCGTACTTCACAAGGCATGATCTCCACGTTGATTCCGACTGTCCGTGAAACGCACCGCACATCGCCAACATCAAATCATGATGTTTACCAAAAAGTTCATTTCTGATTTGACGTCTCCGAGCCTTGCGTCGGTCAGCTCTGCCACACCACTCCAAGGAAGGTGCAACGATACCTCGCACTGGCAGCTGTCGCATTCTAGATGGTATATCTTCTTCGATCGGTTCCTTGCTCTGCCATGTTATCAGCATAGGAAACCTAAGAAAGCCCATCATGACACTGACGGTGTGCTTGTCGTAGCCGCCGTTGTTGCCAGAGAGACATCAGACCAACGGCAAGTTGAAGCAGGCCGAACACGATGGCTGCGATGGATTCCGCAGACTGGCTGTCGAAACACATGAAGATATATGCTGATAGAAAATTTGTTTAGGGAAATAAACACTTGTGACTGTTCCGACAGGAATCAGGATGTTTTTCGCCCTCATATATTCCCCGACATTGTACTTTTACGGGCCCAATAGTCGCACCCTGCGCGAGCATAGCGGTATGAGACCATCACGAAGTCCACATGTCAATCACGGATCGACAGGCCGTTTTGTACTTGTACTTGGGGCATGGACCGGGTGTTGAAACTGTACTTTTGTTGACGCTTGTGTGATTGGTTCAGTGTTCCACCAGGCGTGCCTAGGACGTGCACTTTCCTGCACAGTGCGCGTCCAAGCGACGAGGGTGACTCGCCTCTCATCAAGTGTACTCCTATCTGCTGGCTTATTTAACTATTAATCCTACAGAGACATGATGCTTATTTCTCTTTCTTATCCAGGACTAACCAAGAATCCCCACGCTTCGTTTTTCTTTCTCATACTTGAGGTCAACCTTTGAATGATATGCGTATCCCTGTCGCTTGTTGAAGCTTCACGCAATCATGGATCTTGACGAATTCTGGATGTCATTTCTTGGAGAAGCTGCAGAGTCCGAGCTCCAGTTTCCACGTTCAGAAACTTTCTCTGACACTCGAACACGTAAGAAGAGGGCGCCCACACTTCGCGAGAGTGACTGGGCGCCATATAAAGGAAGGATCATACAGCTCTATTTCACTGAAAAGCGTCCTCTCTCCGAAGTCAGAACTTTGATCGAACAAGAGTTCGGGTTCATCGCCACGTATGTTGAGCCTCCCATTGTTCTATCGAACGTTGGCTAACGAGCTACTCAGAGTTCGCCAGTATAGATCTCGCTTGACTCGCTGGAAGCTCGACAAGAACGTCAAACCAGAGGAGATGAAGGCTATAGTCAGACTTCGCCAACAGCGGAGCCTTGTTGAAAGCGACAAGAGGGACCTCAAGTTCCGTGTGAGGGGACAAGAAGTCGAGCCACAAAATATTGAGAGGTGGCTGAAAAGGCACGATGCTATGGAAAGCGCGCTGTATGCTACCAGCTCCGCCGTGTGTAAGTCGCTTCGTGTCGACCATGTCAATTGTGGAGTATTGATGATGAGTAGCTACTCCCTCAGCGGTCAGCTACGAAACCATGTCAGAGACAAGGTCACCACGCACACCTTCAGGGTGTTTTGCTGGAATCGAGGACGACGAAAACGAAGACGAAAACACGAATATCAATGGCTCATCTACTACACCTCGAGATCTTTATAGCTGTCACACCATACCTCAACAGAACGTCAACGGCGACACTGTTAGAACCCCGTGGAGTACCGACGAGTCTCTCATCACATCTCGACAGTTCAACACTGATGCGCAACCGAGGCTTCACATAACGAGGGTCAACAATATGCACTTACATGTGAGATGGCGATATGACTCCAGCGGCCATGGATTTGATCAAGACTTCGAAGATGTAATGCTAGCACTACCACAGAGCAGGGTTAAAGACACCCGCAAGCATATTTGGAAAGCCATGACCAGAATTCTGTTAAGAGTCCTGCTTGCCCCACACTTACATATGGGTCTAATCGTGGGAACGTCCCAACCCCCTGTCTTGGACTTGTATGTCCGCTATGTACCTAGAACTTGGGGAATTCCGGAAACCCTTAATGTCAGAATCCATTTGCCGGTCGGCCCAAATAGCCACAGTAGAGCTCTACCGGGCGACTGCGGGTTAGACTTCAAAGATGACAGACTCTGGATTTGGCAATCGAGAGGTTTCTGGGCTGGACCCGAGAGACTCGGTTTCCACTCAAACATACTATTCGGATGGCGTCTCAGTCGATGCATACGCCTAGACAGCTTCCTCTGGCCTCGCGAAGACGAAGATACGGAAAGGCGACGATTATTCGAGTTACGGTTTGGTTGATTGATCAAACGCCATATATACGCTGGGCAAGCACTTGCCGCCACGGGAAACATAGATTGAGTGCGTCGGAGATAATTGGATGTACACAGGATGAAGCACACGCTTGATCTATCGCAATAATGTTGGGACCCAGATGTAATATTCACAGTTCCTCTTAATTCCATGTCCATATCCATTGCATTCATATACATGTTCCCCAGCATCCCCATTCCATATCTCATATCCACGCATACGCATATCCTCATTAATCGCATACGTCGGAAAAGTAAAAGTCGAAAATCAAAAAGGACATAACACATTCATCGCTTCGCAGTCGTGAGCGAGCTCGCTTCAAACGCCCAAGTAACGCCAGTAGGGCTGACTCTGTCGAAGCCCATGTAACCACTGAGATGAAAACCACCCATGCCATAAGGTACCAGCACGAGGCTAGACACAAGAACTAGAAAGCAAAAAAGACTTTGTACAGTTTTGGAAAGAGATCGGTCGGTGGATAACCGACTATCGTCTCGATGAGTGGCGTGTTCGGCGTGTGTGGCGATCTGAGGAACTTGCGCTGCCTGGGTGGTTGTTAGCACCTGTCTTCCTGAGTGAAATGCAAAATCGGGTTACTTACTTGAACTTGTGTAGTCGCTGTACATGTATGATGTTCCACTGACAGTGGTGCTCTTATCGTCGACCTTGTTGTCGTGTCTCCTCTTGAGACCCAACGCGAGCGCGAGACCACCAAGTCCAGCAGCGAGACCCAGACCCTTCTTGCCGGTGCTGTGCTTCTCAGAGCCGGCGCGCGAAGGACGAGCAGGGCGGCCACCTCCGTACCAGGTGCGTCCGCCAGCAGCGCCGCCGCTGTGGTGGTGCTCTTCGATGTAGGTCTCCTCGTGGGTGTGCTTGCGCTTCTTGCCGAAGCCGAAGATGGCGAGGAGGGTGTCGAAGAGGGCGCGAGCGCAGCAGAAGAGGCAGAGAAGGAGCAGCAGCAATATACCAAGGATAACACCGATAACGATACCGGCAATGGCACCGCCACTGAGTCCACCGTTGCTCTCTTCGGTTGCGACAAGGCCGCCGCCCGCTGCGCCAGTGGGAATGGGTGTTTGGAAGGGCTGGGTCGCGGTCGGTGTGCCGGTGTAGGTAACGACTACAACGCCTGAGCTAGTTGGACGAAGAGGGGCACCGGGTGTGATACCTCCAGAGCTGCCGCCAGCGATCATCGCACACTGGCCGGCCTTCAGACAGTACATGCCAGAGTCGCAGCAGATTCCGCCGCAGGGGTTTTGCGAGTCGCTGCATGTGGCTGTCGCTGTGGCTGGTATGTAGGTGCTACGCGTCTCGGTCTTGGTGACAAGGCCGACAGTCTCGACGTAGGTAGTAGTGTAGTATTCATAGTAGCCGCCTGCCGCTTCGGTGTTGGCACCGCCGCCGCTGGTGTCGCATTGCGCCTGGTTGGCACTGTCGGTATAGCATTTTGCGCCTGAAGGACAGCACAACCAGCCGCCGAAACCGCAGGGGTTGGCGCAGTCTTGCTTCTTGATCAGCTGGGAGCTGTTGTGCAGCGAGGCGAACTCGTCAAAGTGGACGGGGTAGGGCTTTGCGAGAGCCGAGGGCAGATAGGCGAAGGCGATCAGGCCGAGCACGGCGGGAGGAGCGTTGAGAAGCCACATGGTAAAGCGAGCGACTGAGCCTCTCCAAACGCAGCAGAGCAGCGAGGTTTGCTGCGAACGGAATAGACAGGACCGTTTGCAGGAATTGGGGGGAAACGACAGAAGAGGCGCGCTGCAATTCGTAGATATCGTCCAGTCGGCGTGGGAGCGGTGAATGGGTGGGTATCGCTGCTGCGGGGTCGATCCGTTGGCTAGCGCGTCTTTCGTGTCTGCTGGCGTGCGTGACTGGTGCCGGCGTGGTACAGGATGCGAACCACGGAAAAGAAGTCAGTGATGATTGAACTTGGCTATGGAAGGGAGAGGAAGGTGGTAGGATGTGTGTAATCGTGCAGGAGGAGGTGTGCAAGTAAAAAGGGTACACTTAGAATAATCGTGTGGTTGGAAGCCGCGGGAGAGGCTGGGGTGGTTGGGGACCTTCCAACTCCAACTTCAACAACACCGGGGTTATGCGCTTGCGCGATTTTTGAAACTTGGCTAGACGCGGTAGTGGGCACAGAAGTCGTGTCGTTTTCGTGATGTCAATGACTTCGCTATTCGTGAGGAGATGTGTGCTGTCTCACGATGATTCTACGGGGTGTCGTACACAGTGATGCTCAGCGCTCGCTCCGCCTCCGGTTCACCCAGCAACGTCCGTCGCGCCATCACCTGGCCATCCTCCTCGTCTCCGCGCACGTTCACCACCACCACTCGTCATTGCAATCTCCCCCAGAAGGATATGCCCGTGTTGGCCCAAGCTAGCTGCTTGGCCTTGGGCGGTAGTTCCTCAATCATTCTGCCTCGTGCACTTTGCTGGTCCTGCGCATGCAGCCTGCGACGTCGTGCAGTGGTTTGCCTTAGTTGCGAATAGCTTCTTGGTATTTCTATCGTCTTTCCGCAACATCCGGAGAACTATCAACTTGTCGTTTTGGGAGTAGATTCTAGACTCGAGAGTTCCGGCCGGCTATAAATATCATCCGGTACCTGCAGGGCGCGTGTGATGTGTGGGCCGCCTGCTACGTTGTCAAAATGGGGCCTTGCGTGCCGCACATGCCAATCACTACACCGTAAGTCGACAACAGGTACAAGCTGTGACATTCAACACTGCCGAGGATGGAAGGTCACTTCTGACAGACATTGACAACTGGCACTTTCTTTGCCGACAGCTCTGCCACGTCTACCAAAAGATCTTCTCAGCCCTCCCTGTCCAGCCCATACTCTTGGACCATCTTCTCCGCTGCCTTTTGCGCAATCAAATACGCCGTAGCCTGCGAGTGGTTGTTCGTCACAACCGGCGCAACACTCATATCAACAACTCGTAACCCCTCCACTCCCCGAACTCTGAAGTTCTTGTCCACAACTGCCTCTTCATCACCTTCCTTACCCATCTTGCACGTCCCGCAAGCATGCCACACGGTACCCGCATTCTCGCTCGCAAACCGATCTACATCCGCATCTCCCATGGACTCAGGGCCTAGAACCGTGCGCACGATATGCGGCGCGATAGTAGGGTTACCTGTCAGCTTCGTCCATGTGCTGCGGATAGCTTCGCGGAAGATGCGGACGTCGTAGGGGTGCGTGAGGTAGTTCAACGTGATGATTGGCTTGTCGGATGCATTTTTGGACCGCAGTTTGATGGAGCCGCTGGATTGCGGGTTCATGAGAAAAGCGATGAAAGTCATGTATGTGTTTCCTGCCTCCAATTGTGTACCCGGCGGCCACAGTATCGAGTTGTTGATGAACTCGTACGCTGGGACTTGGTCTCTGGACAGGAATTCTTGGAGGTCGCGCGGAAGCGCCGAGTACTCTTCATACGACTCCAAGTCTGGTATTTTGAGGAAGCCGCCCCAGAGCGACGAGTGCTGTAGAGCGAAAGCACCGGTCTGGTCTTTTTTCCATGACTCTTGAGCTGCGGCGATGAGGTCGGGATTGCTGTCAAAGGCGTATTTGTCATTGATTGAGCCTGAGACTTCGACCGTCATGAAGGTGAGGACGTGGTCTTTCAGGTGCTTGCCTACGCCGGGTAAGTCGACTTTGACATCGATACTGAGAGCTTCGAGTTCAGATTTCGGTCCGATGCCGTTGAGGAGTAAGAGCTTGGGTGAGTCGATGGAGCCACCGCAGATTATGACTTCGTTGTTTGCCGTCGCTGCGATCGTGTCAGTGCTCATTACGTCTCTCATCGATGCAGATAGTACACCTACCTTGCCGCCCATCTTCGAGGACGACTCCAGTTACCTTTTTGCCCTCCCATACGAATTTCTCCGCTTTCGCATCTGTCCATACCTCAAGGTTACTAGGCGCGTCCATCAGATGCGCAATTGCACTGGTACTCCTCCCCTCTTTACTATAGCTATGCGGAAATACCATGATGCCCACCGGATCTCCCGAATTAGCATCGCGAACGATCTTTTCTCCAGCAGCAGCCAGTGCCTCCATCTGCGGCACCACACCCTTCTCGAGCACAGGCGGAAGACCAACCTTCAACTGGCCTTTCGTGCCATGAGCGTTCGTGCTCGGGTCAGCGATATGCTTGTAATCTTCTGAGCCGGAAAAGTCATAATTCTCGATGGCTTCGAAAGATCTCTTGACAGATTCCCATTTCCAGCTCTCGTCGTCTACCAGGTCACTCCAGCGATTATAGTCCTCACGACTTCCGTACAGATACACAGCGAAATTCAAAATGGAACTTCCACCTAGGCCTTTTCCCCGCGTGTACGGTATTGTTCTACCGTTCAGAGCGGGTTCGGGCTCGGAGACATAGCCGTGGTCTAGATCAGGTCGGAGCGCTTGCGCATAGTACCGATGGTAGGGTGCGTCGAGGAAATCACCAGAGGGGCTGCTTCCGGCTTCAAGGAGGAGGACAGACGGTTTGCGGGCGGAGTGGGATAGTCGATGGGCAAGAAGGCAACCTGAA